CAAGTGGAGGAGTGGGGAGTCAAACCGGTTCTCCCAGATTAGAGTCCGCGCACTTAACCACTACAGCAAACTGGAAAAAGAGATTGGATCTATACCCCGCCCTTCACTACCCAAAGGTGTCTCAGAGTGGCTTACAAACTCCTTTCCCTTCCCCTCCCCACAACAGACACCCTGGGAGGTAGGTGGGGCTGATAGAGCTCTGACAGAAACTGCTCCTGAGAGAACAGCTCTGAGAGAACTGTGGCTTCCCCAAGGTCATCCAGCCAGGTCGAAGTGGAGGAGTGGGGAATCAAACCCGGTTCTCCCAGATTAGAGTCCGCGCACTTCACCACTGCACCAAACTGGCAGAGTCAGTGAAGATCCTTGTGATGTGGCGGCAGCTGACGCCAAAGCAACATTTAAAAAAAGGTATACAGTGAATCAAAGTTCCAATGGCCAATCAGAAGCCCTGCTGGGCAAACGCCCCACCTGGCCGCAGCCACTTTCTAGAAACACTTGGCAGACCCCAGGAAAGGGGCTGACAGGGGCCATGATGCCCACAGACACCATGTTAGGGGTCCCCAATCTCAGGAGCCTTTGGTGCTTCTTGGAGAATGAAAAAGGCGGGGGTGGGTGGGTACTAAGTAGCAGAGATCTAATATTGTTTGCGTAGGAGGCATTGAAGGTGCATGTATAGTGACCACAATAGAACTACCCACTTGAAAAATTATAAAAATTATACAATTGTGAAGACAACACATGTCACAGTCAATGTTCCCTCTAAGCTGAGTTAGTGTGAGCCAGCTGACAGTTTTTTAGCCTCCGGCTCACACATTTTTGTCTTCGCTCAGGAAGGACAGCTTCAGAGGAAACTAATTTATGCGGTAGCCAAATCACTTGCTCACAAGTTTAATCCCAGTAGCTCACAAAGTAGAATTTTTGCTCAAGAGACTCCACAGCTTACAGGGAACATTGGTCACAGTAATGAGTAGGATCACAGTAACAAATTTACAAAATCAGTAATTGCATACATTAACAATTGCAATGACACGTGCCAAAATCCTTGCAACTGAAGAAAAACCCTAACCATTACTATTGTGACGCATGTTGATGTCTTCATGCAATCCTAACCATATTTTCATAATTTTACAATTTGATAGTTGTAATGTGGTCACTATACATGTACCTTTAATGCCTTCTACACAAACAATATTAGACCTCTGGTACTTAGAAGAAGAAAAAGAGAAGATTGGATTTATACCTTGCCCTTCGCTATTCAAAGGAGTCTCAGAGTGGCTTATAATTTCATTCCCTTCGCCTCCCCACAACAGACACCCTGTGAGCAGTATTCCCTCTAAGATGAGTTAGCGTGAGTTGGCTCACAGTTTTTTCACCTGCGGCTCACACATTTTTGTCTTCGCTCAGGAAGGGTGGCTCCAGAGCAAACTAATTTATGCAGTAGCCAAATCGCTCACTCACAACTTTAATGCCAGCTCACAAAGTAGGATTTTTGCTCACAAGACTCCACAGCTTAGAGGGAGCATTGCCTGTGAGGTAAGTAGGACTGAGAGAGCTCTGACAGAAACTGCCCTTGAGAGAACAGCTCTGAGATAACTTGTGACTGACCCAGGGTCACACCAGCAGCTGCATGTGGAGGAGTGGGGAATCAAACCCGGTTCTCCCAGATTAGAGTCCTCCCTCCAAACCATTACACCAAACTACACCAAAGTTAAACCCCACCCCCTTTTTTTTTCTGGTTAATCAGAGGTTTCCTATCCGTTTTTTTTGTTTGTTTGGTTTTTTGGTAGCTTCAAGAAGAGTGTCAAGGTGGACCATCTCTTGCAATGGACCAAGCACAGCTTTCAAAGGGAGCGGCTTGGGCGTGCCCTGGGAGTGGAGTCAAGCGGAGCCTCCTACCTGAAGAGGGCGGCATCCATGTAGCAAGAGTTGCAGTGGCCCTGGATCCCCCGCATCCGCCCCCGCAGCACGTGCACGGCCAAATCATCCCTGAGAGGGGGCGAGTTGCTCTGAACCTCTGGTGAAAAAAACCCACCTGAAAGAAAGGGTTTTTTTTAAAAAACAAAAACAAAAAACCAACAACTCTAACATAACATTCTGGTCTTGGGGGACTAGGTGCGGATAGGGCTTTTCTAGCTTTAAGAGATGTAGCAGCAAAGTTAGGGAACTTGGTGGTAAATCATGCCAAGACAACCTTTTCAAAGTGACATTTGCCCAATTGTCCAGTGAAGGTCTCCCAATAAGGAGAGGCAGTAAGATGATGCTTTGGGAAGTGGGGGACGACTCCAAACCACGTGGCAGCCGACCTGAAACCAGACAATTCTGGTTGGTGGGGCAGGAGCCAGGGCGCTGGGGCAAAGGAGCAGGAAGCGGGGAACTTAATTAGATTACTGATTAGATTAGTTCCCCCGGAAACTTAGGGGCCTTGCCTGCCCCAGGGGTCTTGCCGCTTCTGGTCAGTTTCACTCCCCTAGAATCAGCTGTTAGGGGAGTGAAACTGACCAGAAGTGGCAGGGCAGTAGGCCTCACCCCTGATGGGGCTACGCCCCTAAATGCCCCACCGTGGCTACGGGCCTGCATGGCAGTGGAATGGCAGTGCAGGACGAGGCCAAGAGAAGCCAGGCCACGACACCAGGAGCTGCTGGAGGAAAACGGCCGGTCGAGGATTTGATCCTCACCAACGTGACTCGTCAGAGAAGATGATGTTTGGAGTAATTCAACCGGCGGAGCGGAACTCACTGAACTCGGCGGACTCCAGGAAAGCGCTGTCGTTGCACTGGAAGCGCATGTCGGGCTGGCACAGCTCCAGGTTGACGAAAAGGCCCCGCTTTGGGGGACAGTTGAAGTAGCGCATTCCCTCCCACTCGCCGTCACAGACCCCCTTCTCTTCATCCTGCAGAGGAGGGCGGAATCTCTCAGGCAAAGCAGACATGCGGGTTCTGGGCTGTCGGCTAGAATAACTCTTGCGCAAGGAAGATTCAGGAGGGCACCATGTTGGATTGAAGCAGCAGGACACATTTTGAGTCCAGCGGCACCTTCAAGACCCACAAAGCTTAATTCTGGGGATCAGCTTTCGAGTGTACACACACACTTCATCAGATAAGAAGCAGGCATACGGACAAAAGCTTATGCCCAGAATTAAACTCTGTGGGTCTTAAAGATGCCAACAAAATTTTATTCAAGGTATAAGCTTTCATGTGCATATGCACACTTCAGTTATTACACCTTGAATAAAACTCTATTGGTTTTAAAGCTCAAACTTCATTCTCTTGTGCAAGAACTCGGTGGGCACTCCATGAAATTGCTGAGCGGTCAGGTTAGAACGGATAAAAGGAAGTCCTTCTTCACCCAAAGAGTGATTAACACTTGGAATTCACTGCCACAGGAAGTGGTGACGGCTACAAGCATGGACGGCTTCAAAAGGGAATTAGATAAGCATATGGAGCAGAGGTCCATCAGTGGCTATTAGCCACAAGGTATAGATAGGGACTCTGGGGCAAGTGATGCTCTGTCATCTTGGTGCTTGGGGGGGGGGTTAACAGTGGGAGGGCTTCTAGTGTCCTGGCCCCACTGCTGGACCTCCTGATGGCACCTGGTATTTATGGCCACTGTGTGACACAGAGTGTTGGACTGGATGGGCCTTTGGCCTGATCCAACATTGGCGTCTCTTATGTTCTTAAGAAATGATCACTACTGGTCAAGTGCCAGCACACAAAAGTTCTAGTTGCGCAACTTTCTCGCTTTGGCTGATGCCAAAGGAAAGTCAGGTTCAGAGGACAACAAGAAGCAAAGTTTGGCCCTCCTCAGCAAACGGATGGCATCAAAAACCAAGCTTGTGCACAAGTTCGCCAAGTGAACTCAGGGTCATTTTGAAAACGAGACCCCCCTATAAAAAGTTCCCAGAAGGAAGCTATGCAGTCGGTCATCCGGCACCACCCCTTCCATGAACAGACGCCTAGCTGCCTTCTATAGAATCATACCCTTGGTCCATCAAGGTGGAGTGAGTTCTCCCACCCCGAGAATACTAGAGCTCGAGGGCATCCAACGAAGCTGATGGGCAGTAGGTTCAGGACAGACAAAAGGAAATACTACTTTACCCAGAGAGGGATTAAAATGCTGGAAATATTACTACTAAACATATTTCCAAAGGATTTTGATAAAGGTGATAGATATTTGATAGTACACCTATCTACGGCAGCAAGAATACTATATGCAAAATATTGGAAACAAATGGAAGCACCAAAGAAGCAAGAATATGTGAATAAACTGTTGGAGACGGCTGAAAATGATAAACTGTCATCGTTGATGAGAGGGACAACAGACTCAACATTTCAAAAGACGTGGAAAAAACTGTATGACTGGTACAATATAAATGCATAGGTTAAAGTAATGGAAATTTTGGTATTATTAATCTCATTTAGTTAATTAGAAACTACGGTAAAAAGATAAAGAGTGTACAGAAACTTAAGCAAACCTATAGAAAGTGATTTAAGAAAATTGTTAAAAATGGCAATAGAGTTATACTGATCTCTTTGTTATGTATGTAAGTGGATGTTTGTTATATGTTGTATGTATGTCGGTTTGTGTAAAATATGAAAAGTAATAAAAGTGTACCTAAAAGGTAAAGGTTCCCTTGCTTGAAAGCCAGTCGAATCCGACTCTAGGGTTGCGGTGCTCATCTCGGTTTCAAAGCCCAAGAGCCAGCGCTGTCCGAAGACATTTCCGTGGTCATGTGGCCGGCATGACTAAACACCAAGGCGCACGGAACGCTGTGACCTTCCCACCGAAGTGGTACCTATTTATCTACTTGCAATGT